TTTTGAAGTTTTTGAGAGTAGAGTTGTTTCGAAGTAAAATTTTTGTATTTCGAACAAAGTTAAGTTCTTAAGTTCATCTACTCCGAGAGACAATTCTGCACGAAAATATTAAATAATTAATAAAATACGTGGTTGATATTTAATAATTTCATTACTAATTATTTAATGGGTGTTGAAAAATAAAAATAAATTAATTTTAAAAAATAAGAAAAAATGTAATACCTGCTGACTTAAATCTTCGTCGTTGGCTATATAGAATTCCATCTGCCAAATATTCCCATGTATTTTCCCAAACGATCTCTGGTTTAGACATACTATTACACATCAACAATGTAGCAAATAAAAAGCGTAGATAAAAACCAGATCCAGAATGACTTGCTTCTTTAATTGCATCAATGTATTCCTTGTCATCATCTAATAGCCCGAGTGCATCTCTAAAAGAAGAATGTGTTTCTCCATTTACCGTGCGAATTTCATCAAATGATGTTGGTCCTTTTACTTTATTTAAAAGAATCCTTAAGAAATATGCTTCATCTAGTTTAGGTGAAACTGAATGAATTCTACCGATGGCTTTTCCTACTTTCCTTCGCTTCCAAAACCGACCATTTAATATCCAAACAAACTTTGTAGGGAATTCAACATATGTGAGTTTTCGTGCTTCACTGTCGATTGCATTACACTCCATCCAAGCTGTGAACTTTGAAGCGGCAACAAAAGGTTTGTCAAGAACATCATCAATAGCATCATCTTCGCCATATACAATCTGTTGTTGATTAGGAAGATGAAAAGGTAGTCTAACAACAGAAGGATATCTGCAATGAACATCATATCTAAAAATTCGCCATGATGCTTCACATGCTGATAAATATCTACAATCGTAATATTCAGCTATTTCATCGACCGCATCATTATTTTCACATTCATTGTTGGTTGGTACAACAGCAACTGTAGCTCTATCAGGACCCTTATTTATGTATTTAAACAAATACTTTATAGAAGATCCCTGATTGCACCATTCAATATTAATATGTGCCTGATATCTTTTCAATAGATATTTGTTGTATGGAACAACATTTCTATTATCCAACCTTACACCTGATTTTTCTACAAAATGACCATCGTTTCTTCGCCTATATAACGGAAAACCATTCTGATCAACAGACGAATGATTAATGAATTGTTTTGGAAAGTTTTTAGAGCACTTTTTATCCACCATGCATGGACAATTCATATTTTCAGCTCCACATGGACCATGAATCATAAACTCATTTACAAGTGAATACAATTCAGGATCTTCAATTCTGTCTGGTATCTCTGCTGAAATTATTGGATCGATAAGTTCAACAGTTGGTAGCTTGTTGTCAGTTGGCATGAATAGACATATATGACTATGCGGCAAACCTCTTTTTTGAAATTCAATGGTATAAACATCTGTAAAAGAATTTGACAAAAAATAAAAGAGAATGTGATTAGATATCAAAACATATTTAAAATATAATAATAAGATCAATGTTTTATAAAAAAATTAAAAATATAGTTTTAATTACATGCTTGAACTTTGCCGAAAATTTGATTCTCCCTTAAGTCTTTAATGAATGCATCAAGCTTGATCTTAAACAACCTACATAGTATATCAGGTCTGTCTTCTGGTTGAAGTGAAGTATCCTTAAGAAACCTTTTAATCTCAGGCCATTTGGGATTACACGTAAAGGTTATGAAGAAATCAGGATATCCAAACCATTTACATAGTGACATGGCATCCAAATAGTTTTGCAGCATATAACGTGCACCTCCGGTAAAGGATGAAGGTAATATGACACGTTGGCCGACATTCGAGATATCAGTCGTTCCTTGAGCTTTTTGGTTACGTAAATTTTCATAAGAATCACATCTAAGAACATGTTGTTGCCTACGTATGTAGTACATTCTCTCCGTTTCCATCATAGTATAGGCATCTACCAGAAATTGTTGAAACAACCTTCTTGAATTAAGTATGAGAGAGAACGAATGATCTCTGTCTTGAATCCTATAAGCGAAATATTCTCTCATTGTACATTTCGCACGCTTGCTGTTGGTCGTAAATGTCAACACTATAACCATCATCCCCATATGGAAATAGCAATGGATATTGGAGAGGAAGGTACGAAGGATGCAATTCACTGATACGTTGTAGACAACCATTTTTTGTTTGAACGACGATATCCCTCTTTTCGATTGAATCCGAAATGTCACCAATAATTAAAGCAGCAACCTCAGAAGCAGTCGGTAGGTTATATGTTCTTCCATCTTGCTCCCTTCTCCCGATAAGTCGTAATTTCATATCAACTTCTGGATTTTTTTGAAAAGTATCTCTTACCATTCTATAAGATCTAACCAAGACATTATTTGAATCCAACATCACCTTAATATCTTTAACAATATCACTATCAGTTGATGTTGATTGATCTTTGTCACCACTAAAATAAATAAATTTATACATAATATTAGTAATATATACATAATATATATATATATATATAATAATAATATATAATAATAATAATAATAATAATAATAATAATAATAGATTATGAATAAGAAGTTTGAGAAAATACCGAAAACATCTTTGTCTATTTGTAATTTCGTTGTCAGTGTCATAAATGTATAACTGAGAGAATTTTGGTTCCGATCCTTTTGCTGGCAAAAGACTTCCAATACTATGATAATTTTGACCACCCAATCTGAAAATGTAAGGAGCGTTTCCTCTATTGATTGAAGAGTCAATTTTACCACCCATCGACGTGAAAGAAAACATTGAATTGTAACGTCGAATGTTTTTCATGAAGTGTTTGCTTTTTGAATCCATATTTCGAAACATTCTTTCATAAGTAGGGGGTGCATTCTTTAAGTCTGGAAGTTGAACTTTGCCGTAACCACAACATAATGAATAATCCGTGTTCCCATTTTCTTTACCTCTAATGGATTCATTTCTCCATAACTTTGCACGACATGTTTGACATACAACATCTTGATCACCATGATCCAAATATTCTGTAAAATAAAAGCGTTGAATAAAATATCAATGAATTTTATAATTATAGAGAACATAGTATCTGAAATGTAAAATGGATTTTATTTTTTCATTACCATTTGAGATACCAACTATACGATTTTCATTGTTCACTTGATGTATATTTTCTACATCTTCTGTCAAATCAATCAATGGGATAGGGGATAAATGTCTTGTCTTCGTTTTTAATTTATGACATCCTGGATTTAACTTGATTGATGATGAAGAAGTTGTTACTGTAGATGCATTTTTTGATGTCATATCATTTGAAAGTACATGGTACTGTCTTTTCTTTGCTAACTTGGAAGTGATATATTTATCGAAACCAATGTTATCTGAATAAAATAAAAATAAAATAGTTAACTAAATAAATAAATATTTACATAATGGATAATAGTATATTTTAAAAACCATAAATAATTACCATTCGTAATGTTAGATAACGGATTTATAACATTTGTAATGTTAGAAAATGGAGTTCTAACATCTGTAAAGGAAGGACAGTATTGTATGGTTGTGTTATGCTTTGCAGGTGTTGTAAATGAATTGGCATTTTGAGTTTGACGAACAATGTTGGTTGATTGATCTGCAAATAGAAATAACTTATAAAACCTGTAAATATATGTATTCAACTATATAACAGTAAAAGATGGAATATAAAATACTAATACGGTTATAGTTAATGGTTTTTTTGAAGAGATGCTGTAATGATATACTTGGAACGTTTGGTATTGTTTTTATTTTCTTCGATCTTTTATTTTCCAAATATATTTTTCTTTGTCTTCTTTTCTCTTTGGCCTGCATGTGGTACATGTTACTGTTGTTTTCTGCATAAGAAGACATAGGTTAGGAAATGAAATGTGAAATTATGTACATAATATGTTTATATAATACAATTGAAGTTAGTTAGAATTAAATAAATAATGATAATAAAGTAAATGTATTTAAAAAGTTACGTTTATTAAAATGTTAGCATCATGACTCATCATCCTCATTTCCAACCTAGGGTTTATTCGATTTAAATCTACTGTTTCCCCAATTTCAACCAATCGTGGGTTCGGATGATATCAGGGGTTAAAACCCTAGATCTCCATGGAATCAATGAAGGTAAAATTGTGTGATACACGATAATCGTGATGATTATAAATTGCTTATTGATCTTATGTATCTATTCAAGATTATATTTTTACAATTAGAAAAACATCTATTCCAATCAGTTGATTGAGGGATATGAAACCCTAGATCTCCAATCAGTTGGGTTGGCATATGAAAACAGATAAGTTTTGATTTTCGATTAGCAATTGGGTTAATTGGGTTATTGATTGAGGGACGATTCGTGAAGAAAAATGCGAAGTCAAGAAGGACTGTGAAATGTGATTTGTTCAATATTGGAGTCAAATGCAGTTCACGTGTAAAAGCAAAAATGTTCGCATTTGGTAATACAAATCAAAATTGGGTTTCGCATATGAGGTTGTATGGATTGGGGTTAAAGATACGAAGGTGATTATGGTTAATATTCATTTCGTATTTGGTGAGACAAACAACTCAAATGCGAATGAACTAAAAAATAAAAAAAAAATGACTGGAACATGCGAAGAAAGAGGGTGAATGAAGAATGTGCATTTTACAGTAGAATGCGAATTGGGGAAGAAAGCTAAGAATTTCGCATTTTTAATATACAAATTGATTGATTGATTGATTTGTCTTAATTGTTAATTGCGATATATGAAATACTTATCAAGTTAGGGGCAATATATTTTATTTGAGTTATAACCAAAATCAACTAACTTGTCCAATTTAAAACAATAAAAGTATCCAAAAATATTCAAAACCAATAATATTTGACATCCTAAATACCCCAAAATTCAAATCATACCAAGCAATTAAAATATCTTTATAACCAAAAAAAATGATCAAAATATATTAAATGTGTCTTATAACCGATAGACACTCACTTTTCAATTTTTGGAATCAAGAGTGGAGTTTCCTCTGCGGTTGACTTTCTTTTAGCCTTAGTTGAACTTAAATCATATCCAGAATCAACATCATAAATTTCTTGGAGGTTGCGCTTCAAATCACCTGATATTTTGCAAGGACTTGTTGCAGTTGACTTATCAACTGTTGAGGGTGTAAAACTTTCGTCTGTTTGTGAGATCACATCCTAATTTAAAAAAAAAATGTTTGATTCCTAAAAAAAATAACTAATATAATTAAAAGTTTATAAAATAAAATGAAAAACCTTTTGAACAGGCTGTACAACATCATCGGATTCCAAAGCAACTTGATTTAAGGCGACAAATTGATTACTCTAAAAAATAAAATGGAAATATGTTAATCGTTATGTACTTTAACATTAAAGAATTGTAAATTTTCAACAATAAAAAATTACATACCATAAGTTCTATTTTACTTTCCAATTCACAAACAATGGACATATCTTCTGTAACTCTGAGAACTGTGTAGATGTTATTATAGTTGTTGACATTGTATTTTGTAATATCTACAACAAAACCAAACTTGCGGTTTTTCAACACATTAAGTTGCATTGGAAATAGGGCATCATTGTCTCCAGCCTGTAAGATATATTTTAATAAATTAAAAAAATTAAGTAAATGTTTTCTGATTTTAAAGGTATGAATAATATACCGCATCATGTATCTTTTTCAACTCGTAGGCACTTATATTTAACAACCTCCTTGCTTCCCTATCAAAAAGAGTCAATCCAATGGTTCTAGTACAATCTTGTACGTTAATTGGAATTATATACCTAAAACAAAAAATAATTATGTCATTGTTAGTGTTGTTTTAAGATTGACAAAATTAATAGAAATAAATATGTCTATACTTTATAACTGACTGAAATTCAGATTTTTTGCATTGTGCATTTGTACACTCGACAACCATAGTTTCGGAAATTCCCTCAGGGTTGGTATACGAATGATTGGTTTTGGGAACAGGGATAACTTTTTTTCCACATTTTTTGCATGCTTCATAATACCATGGTAGATTCTGCCTTATATTAACAATGGAAGCAACTAATAAAAACTTCATTTCCTGTATCATATAAAATGTAAAAATTATTAAAATAAATTATGCAAAAATAAAATGTAAAACATATAAAATAATGCAATATACCTTAATTGGTTCGGTGATCTCACAGATTGTTTTTAATGGAAAATTGCCCTTAAAGTCATCTGTATATGAAGAAGAGTAGCTTTGAAGTGTAGTTATGCTTTTTTCAGTTATACCGAAATTGTCATGACATTTCAACCTGTAATGTTTAATTTAGATTCATGAATATTAGGTTTTGTGTTTTTTTAAGTTAAAATACATTATAAAAAAATAAAAAACAATTGGAATCTAACTTATTTTTAAACTCATTTATTTCATAAATGTCAGAATTTATGAACAATTTCGTTACTTCAAAATGACTTTTAGCTTCACCAAGACCTGTAAAAAATGTATATCCAATTATTAAAATTTATATAAAAACAGTAATTATAAACATCTATATATAAAGACTGAATACAAACCATTCCAAATGTTTAGCTTCAAAAACTGCATCACGATAACAACAAAATTAACAGTCGGGTTATTTTTTAGGTATTCTGAAATTTGATATGCTTGACTTCCAAAAATAGTAACCTTCAGATGTACAGAACTAAATAAACCATAAAATAGTATATTAATATTAATTTGTGATTAATTAAAGATAATAAATAATAAATAAATAATACAATATAATCTCACTCTAGGTTGCTAAGAGTGACTTTTATATAATGCTTGGATGGTACTGGATTTGAAGTTTCAAGAGGCCTAAATGACACGATATATCCAATAACATCTACACAACATATACCACAAAAAAATAAAAGTTTAGGATTAAATTCGTAATATTTAAATAATAAAATGTATAACTAAAAAAACAAATGATAAAAAATGATTTTATTAATATTTTATGACTAACCAAAGAATGTGTCTTTTCGGCATGTTTGTTCTATGATAGAATTAAAGTCAACAAACATAAATCCATTGACCGGACCCGAGAAATCATCACATTTTTTTAGGATGCTTTTCCAATCCAAAGTTAAGGTCTGTTTATGACCTGTATAACTAAAACCATTAGTAACAGCAGCCATATTGAGTTTTATAACTATATAACTTTCATCTTCCTTTAAAAGATGACGAAATCTGGAGAAATTCTGATTGAAGACACGAGCTTGGTATTGTGTACCCTGTTTAAAAAAAAATTAAAAATTATTATGTTCATGAAACATGTCTAATATTGAATGATGAATAAAAAATATATCAAATACAACAAACCTCCTCATCCATGATGATCATTTCAATGGAACAAACTTTATTATTTCTGACAAAGTTCCAAATTTTAAGCACCCGAACCTTGATATGCGATTTTTCATCTATCTGGTCAATGTTATTTAGGTAAACCTTATTTCCTATTTCCATTTTCTGCAATAAATTTAATCATTATAGAATTGTAAGGAAAATTAGCAACCTTTTAAATTAACAGCAAATCAAAGTAAATGAAACAGCAAAACAAAAAAAACATATTGTAATAGTTAAAGCTTTGAGGTTGTATGGATTGGGGTTAAAGATGTTCGCATATTGGAGTCAAATGCAATTCACGTGTAAAAGCAAAAATGTTCGCATTTGGTAATACAAATCAAAATTGGGTTTCGCATATGAGGTTGTATGGATTGGGGTTAAAGATGCGAAGGTGATTATGGTTAATATTCATTTCGTATTTGGTGAGACAAACAACTCAAATGCGAATGAACTAAAAAAAAGAAAAAAAATGACTGGAACATGCGAAGAAAGAGGATGAATGAAGAATGTGAATTTTACAGTAGAATGCGAATTGGGGAAGAAAGCTAAGAATTTCGCATTTTTATTATACAAATTGATTGATTGATTGATTTGTCTTAATTGTTAGTTGCGATATATGAAATACTTATGAAGTTAGGGGCAATATGGTCATTTTGAAGTAAAAGAAGCCTTGGTTATTAAATGAATCATACGAAGGATCTGTTATTTGATTTTGGAATTGGGGCGAAAATTAGCAACCTTTTAAATTAACAGCAAATCAAAGTAAATGAAACAGCAAAACAAAAAAAACATATTGTAATAGTTAAAGCTTTGAAGAACAGTTTTTTTAAAGAAAATAAAGTTCTCATTTTTATTACTAATTTCGTATTTTGTAATCATTTTCATTAACATTTACCTCTTTTAAACTGAAAAGGTAGAAGAAGAACATGATTAAGAAGAATTAGCAAAAGGAAGAAGAAGAACATCACTAATAAAATGAAAAATGATAGAAACTGGTAAATCAGACAATTAAGAGGTTAGAAATATTAGTAATGCTGATATTTTAATACACTAACCTGATATTATAATTTTTGAAGCGTTGCAGAATGAAGAAGAATGAAGAAGAATACGTTTGCAAATATTACTATGGAGCAGAATTCGTCTGGAGCAGAATGGTAAAAAGAAAATAACCGTATGAATGCTATTTACGTTTGAATAAATAAGAATAAGAATTAAGAAGATTACGTTTGAAAAAGATAAATATTGCAGATTTTTAGGGATTTAATTTGCAATCAAAATAAACAAACTTTCAAAATAATGAAGATTACGTTTGAAAAAGATAAATATTGCAGATTGATTAACATATTTGTTTGCAGATTTTTCCGGAATTATTGATTGTGGATTGTATGGCATTTATGTAAATATAGATGAATAAAATAAGCGGGAAAACTCTATTTTGGAGGTCTTATAGATTGACACGTGGCAGAGTTCTACTTATTTATTAGAATTAGGATAAACACACACACTCAACGAGCAAAAAGAAACTGACAAGTGTATATTTCTTAAAATATAATCATGTAATACAACTTTACATCCTAAGCCGGGTAAATTATTCAAAAAACAGTATTGAAAATAAAGACAACTTGAAATTAATTTCTTAATCAATTTCGGTTAGGTATTTCGATGCTTTTGATGATTAAAACAAACATAGTTAATGTAAAAAAAATCCTACTTTTATATTATCAAATTATACTTTAATAAATAACTTGTTAGATTTAGTGTCTTACATTTCTGATTTTTAGTTTTTTCGTATTATATTATATTATTTATTTTAAATATTATTCAAAAAACAATTGTTTGACTAAAAGACTCAACCATCTAACGGTTAGACTTAGACGATAGCTGCACAATTGGGCAAAATCAATAACACTGAGATTATTTAGCATGTAAGTTAAGGTATTCACTTAATAGTTAACTCACATAAACAAGAGTCCCACAAAGCACAAAACAAACAACATTCATGCAGTAACACTCCAAGCACTACACGAATCTACACTGTGCCGATGGCTTTTTTATTACCCTATGCCGACGACAAGTTGTCGGGATAGCTTGTACCGACGACAAGTCGTCGGTACAGAGTCGTCGGAATAGCCCCGTCGATATAGGTGGAAAAAGTCATCGGTATAGATGTCGTCTGGATAGCTACCCCCTATACCAATGATATGTCGCCTGCACAAGCTTCGTCGGGATTGATTTAAAAAAAAAAGTTTTATTATTTACTTGAACCGACGATATGTCGTCGGACAAAGGCAGTATCAATTAGGAATGAAAATTTCACCCGACCCGATGGGAAACCCGGTTGACCCACCCCAATCTTGCACTTATTTTTTCTCCTAGTTATTTTTATGTGTTAATTGCCAGAAACAAACAAATCACTTTGCTATTTCTTTCATTTAAGATGAACAAATACATGTGATAGTGTACTTGTCTTCTTTTTTGTTATTATAGGAAGAAATGATGAAGTTTTTTTAGAAACGTGCATTTGGTGGAATTAATAAGTAACAAGTTCGTTCTTTAGGGAATGCTTGGAATGAACTTTATTTGTCTTTCATTATTTTTTATGGGATTGCAATCGTATGGAATGGACATTTAGTTTTTTTAGTATGTTCACTATTGTTGTAGTCAATTCGAATGTTTTTTTTGCTAGTTGAAGTATTTCATTTTTATGACTTGTATTTTTCATTTGTGGTTTGAATTATTATGTTATAATATTTTTAATTAAAAATGGTATTTGAACACATATATTCGTATATGTTTACATCTTTATGTTTTTTATTTGTTTGTACACATTTGAACATTATTACTTGCATATGTATTGGTTAATTCCCACACATAAAGTTATTTTTACCATCACATGTTAAAATGAACACCTATACATACGTTATATTTTTACCCACACATATTTTATGACACTTGTAAACCAACACTTTTTAGGAGACATGCCACATTATTTGACATGACATCATTGTACTCCACGTCATAGTCGACATCACTAGCCATGTTATCTAACATTTAAAACAAATTATAATACTTCTACATACACATAGTAAATAGTTTTAGCCACACATGCATGTGTAGATTTAGCTTAGTCTATACCTACACATACTCGATGTGTTGGTAATAATCTATATATATAGGCATAAGGCAACATATAGTGACACTTAATTTATGTGTAGTAAGTGATGACTACCAACACATAAAAGACATATAGCTACACATAGTCTGTGTGGGTAAATACCCAAATTTATTGTAGTGAGGCCACAATTATGATCTATAGGGTATCTCAGGGTATCTCTTTCGTGGCGTCGGTATTAGTGGCGATGAATGGATGATTGTGGAGGTAAATTTCATGTTTAATTATTTTAGAACGTTATCATCGACTAGGAATGCCACTATTGATGTCACTGCAAATGGTAATGTACGACGTCAGATGCCAGCTGTTGGATTGATCTAGGTATCTTATCTATAGATATGGTCTTTAGTTTAACGATCGTGTGGATTGGAATTAATAGCTTTATTGATGACACATATAGCCGTGACATTTAAATATGTTATTTGACATTTTTGTCATGTACGCATCCCTACATTGCATAAATATCGTTTTCCTCACTTTTAGATGTAACTTGTTAAGATTTAAGATATAAGTCTGTATAATATATGTGAATACTAATGCTTAGATATCTAAAATTCATTTATTATCATAGCCTTTTTTTTGTCATTTTGGTATGTTTACGTTTTAAAAATAGAAACTATTATAAAATTAGGTTTGTTACTTGTAATAGTAACCAATATGTTCCCAATTTTATTGCATATTCACTTGATTATCAATATGATCAAAACAAGTTTTTTGTTTGACCACATCTATTTTGGTCTTTCTTAGGTGATATTTGTTTTGCTATAAAAACATCTTCAAACCACTTATTGTTGCGCGGCGCAGCACACGCGCAACATTTTCCCTCTCGCAGCAGTTTGTTTTTTGGAAGACTTCAGATTACAAAACCTCTGCATGCAGCACTTGACTTGTCTCTTCTAACCTCTTCAGCTTTCATTTTTTCTAAGTGTTTTTTTAAGAATTTTTGTATAACTTTTTTTTTATATATATTTTTTTAAAACTTTGATTTTCTTAAATTTTTATTTATGGATGTGATACAATTTATTTTTATAATTTCCACGATTTTTTTAACTTGATTTTTAAAATTTTTTTTACCGTTTTATTAATAATATTTTCAATTTCAGTTACATCTTTTTTAACGTGTGTAATTTTTTACGAACTTTGTAGACAACGTTTGCAATAATTTCTTAATTTTTTTTTTATTATTTTCTTTTTTAATGTTTTTTAAAATTAGTTTTTTTTTTTCTAGAATAAAACTATTAGCTTCTTTTACATTTTTTTAAGTATTTTTTTTTAAAAAAGTTTTATATTTTTGTTTTTTTACATGTTCTTGTTATTATTATTTCAATGTTTAAGACTAGAATTATTACGTTTCAGTATTGAGAACTATTTTCAGTTTATAAAATTAGTTTATTTAAATTTTAGTTTACTGTAGCAGTCTGCAGATGTTAAAAAACAAACATGCTTCTTATTATAGGCTGCAACCGTTTGTTCCACCTCTTCTGCTATAGAGGATTGCAGAGGTGGTCTGCAGCCTTCATGAATTTTCGCTTCGAAAAAACCAGTGTTCTAAAAGGCGCGCCATGGCGTGAGGCGTGGCTTCGCCGTTACGAAAAGCTTCATAACGTTGCTGTTAGGCGTGGCACATGACAAGGTGTGATATGGCGTGCCATGGCGCGTTATGGCGTGTTATGGCGCGTGTTTTTTTCATTTGAGACACAGTTTTTTGCTCTTTGTTATGTCTTTTCAAATCGGAGCTATAAGTATTGTGGTTTTTGTTAACTTTCTATTATTAGTTATTGATCTAACACTTCTAAAAAGTAGTTATATTTAATATAAATTTATATTTATGTGTCAATATAATTTTAAATTAATACAAAATTGCCGCCTTACAACACGCTTTGAAAAACGTCATGGCTCGCCAAGCTTGAGGCGTGGTGCCACACCTCACGCCACTTAGAACCTTGGAAAAAACAAATAGCACCTTAGACAAAAGGGGTTTTACTACTATTTTTCTCGCCCATACTTGTTATCGCTTTCATTCTTGTATACTAAGTATAAAAAAGGCTTATTAAGCAATAACTTTTTTGTCATTTTCCTTTATTTTTATCTTTTTCCTTTAATATTCCTGATATTTCAAGTTGCCAAACCTTTCTCCAATACTAGTATAATTCAACCCATATTTGCACAACTACATGTTAATTAACTCCTTATTCAATTTTTTTTTTTTTTTTTTTTTCTAATACACACAATCAAAACCAAGTATAGATCAAACAAGCACACCCATACCATCATTTAACTCTATACAAAACCGTATATACAAAGTATATTTCAAACAAGCACACCCATACCATCATTTAATTCTATATTTACAAAAAATGAGTCAACATACAAGTCAATTTTCCATATTATCATAATTTTTTATTTAGCATGATGTATCAACAATTAGTAGGCTCATTTTACCATTTATATTTGATCTTTAAATTCCAGTAAGTAAAAGCTTTATACTCCTTGCTTAGACATAAACTTGAACATATTACAATCACATGCTTCTGTGACATATTTTCTATATTATCATTCTCTCTCTCTCTCTCTCTCTCTCTCTCTCTCTCTCTCTCTCTCTCTCTCTCTCTCTCTCTTATGTTGATCTCTCTATCATTCTCTGTTTTTTTTTTTTTGGTTTTTGTGAACCGAGACAACCCATTGGACAGGTGTATTTTTCTCATTTTGGCCCCACACATACAACCCATGTGTATTATTTTCCATTTCCTTTTCCATTGCTTGCATATTCATAATCTTGAACATATTATGGCCATGCTTCATGCTTCTTTTACATTTGTTCTATATTCGCATCCTCTCTCTCTCTCTCTCTCTCTCTCTCTCTCTCTCTCTCTCTCTCTCTCTCTCTCTCTCTCTTATTTTGATTTTAACGAATTGAAAGAACCCATTGGACAGATGTATTATCTTAATTTGACCCCTAAAGAAAAACTGTGTACATGATTTTCCATTTTCATTTTCTATTACTTTTAATACCTTATTAATTAAAAATAAAAATTATTGAATCGTTTTCAATTTTTTTAACAAATAGATACTCTTATTAAATATGATGAAGATATTTCATGGCCCATTACTTAGTTATTTTAACTAGCATAAGCCAAATTGTAGCCTTCGTAACATTTCCATATTCGTTAGAGTCTTGTGGATATAAATAATATAGTCATTTATCTAAATTTTAGGATGTTACAACCAAGGTTGTAAAAAACGTTTGGCGATAGCTAGACGGTGGATTGAGGGTCAAGGAATTAAACGGCTTGGCGAGGATTAATCAGA